TTCCCCTATCTAAATTGATGTGTCTATCTAAGTTAAGAAGCTCCTGCTCTTTCTGACACATCATATCATCACAGCAATGCTTTTTCATTATGCTGTCCAAAGGTACTCTTAGGAGCAGATCCACAGGTGTTTGCTAGTTGCTGCTGCCGCAAAAAAAAATTGTCAAACTCCAGTCCTCAAGGGCCGCTGTCCTGCAGTTTTTAGATGTGGCACAGGTACAAAACACTGGAAGGAAATGGCTTAATTACCTCCTCCTTGTGTAGATCAGTTCTCCAGAGCCTTGCTAATGACCTAATTATTCTATTCAGGTGTGGTGCAGCAGAGGCACATCTAAAAGTTGCAGGACAGTGGCCCTCGAGGACTGGAGTTTGAGACCCCTGCGGGTTAAAAGCGACCTTTAACGAAGACAAAAAAAAGGGGGGGGGGAAATAAATAAATAGCAAGGCAGTCTTCAAACCTTCTGCCTGCCAGTTTCTGCACATTTTTCTTAAAATGTTGATCTGGAAGGACTTTTTTCAGTCTTTCTCCCCTGTGATGTTTCATCCAGTATTCTTGTTGTTGCTTCCTACCTGCATTCAGATTTGCCTCCATCTCTTTTTTTAACACTGGTGAGAAATTCAAATGGGAACTCGTCTTTCTCCAATGTTTTCATCCTGCAGAGACGCTCCGTCCCTGTGGGAGGTCACGACAGAAAGACATGCCAATCTGTCTAAACAAGTTATACATGCATATATCGGAGAATACTGATGTTTTATACAGGGAAAGGATTGATAATGACACAATTGATGCATTTACCCTTAGAATATGATCTTTGTTTATTTATGCTGCATACCTGTTTTCATTTTTAATGTGGTCTTGTATTTTTCTTGTAAAATGTCTTTGTGTCTTGAAATGTGCTAGCAAATAAAATGAAAATAAATGAAATGACTACATGACTAACATGAGACTGAAAAATTTAGATCATACCAAAACATAGGAATAATAAAATCACATGACGCTAAATAACCTGTACATTCGTGGAACTTCGTGGTTACTTTGTGAAACTTTACTGAATTTACAGCGTTCCTTATGAGAACTTAGGCTTCTCTCCTTTACTTTTCTCAACTTTCCATGAACTTACTGGGTCTTTTCAAAGAATGAAACTATTAATTTTCTCTCCTCACACTGTCTAGCTTTGATTACTTCAGAATCTGTCTCTTTTAAGTGAGGTGCAAAAATGCAAAGTTTGGTTCCTTTGGAAAATCTGATGCAAATGTCAGTAAAGCTCGTTATTGCTATCGTATCGTATCGTATTTTTTATTTTTAAATCTTTATCTTTAATTTCTTTTTATTTCTCTTTCTCACTGTTTCTTTTTCTTAAAATATCTCTTGTTTATTCAATGTCACATGCTGTTTTTATTTTAATTATGTAAAGCACTTTGAAATGCCTTGCTGCTGAAATGTGCTATACAAATAAAATTTGATTGATTGATTGTATGTTAAGTGAATCAGTCCGACAAAATTTCTGGCTGTTTAGATATTTAAATAGACCTGACAGAAGAAAACAAGACGAATGCCCTATTTAATTTTTAATCACTTTAAATCTTTGATTCCAAAGAAACAGATTTGACTTTGAGTTTTAAGACACACAGACAGACGAGGAGAGTAAGACGATGGTGGTCAGGGCGTCCTGTACCAGCTCCCTCATGAGTCTCTCTGCTCTGTCAGCATGTGGGGTTTTTTTTGTTACATTGCCCTCGCTGTGCTGTCATGCTTCAGCTGATGCTCTGGCTCATTAGCAACTCGACTCTGCTGCGCTACATGAGGAATTTGTTTTGGAAAATTTCTCACTGCGCAGACTTAACTTTCCTCTTGGAGGAAAGTTAAAGTTCTCACAGAGGTTAAGTGCAATTTGCGTTCACGCTAACAAACTTTAATTCACAAATGTTTTAACTTCTGCCAGCAGGAAATGCATCGATTTTAGCTTGCCACACCTAAATCTGTATGATGATGATTCTGGGCTGCCACAGAGCCGCACCATGCTTCCTTATGTCAGGAGGAGAGTTTTTTTCCCCCTCAAACTCAGTGAGAAGTCTGAAAATGTCAGGCTTTATTACCACACTGACCTAGACGTCCTCATCTAACCCCGTTATTCTTCGTTCAGCCCTTCTCGTGTCTCGGCTTTTAAAAGCTCTTTTATGTTACTCCGCAGCCCATCTCACTGTCGGCTGCTCTTCATCACTATCTTCTGCAGTCTGAAACATTCAGCGAGCAGGTCACTCCGGGATGCCGTCAAACTCATCTGATTTTTTTTTTTTTTTCATATTTCCAACCAATTAAAGTAAAAAAAAAAAGAAAAAAAAAAGACTCAGCCTTCCGGGAGTGACATTTTGTAGTACAGGTTTTGTATCGTTATAAGAATGTCATGCATCTCACAACCTGTAGAGCCTGTTGGTGATGGGTTTTTTGTTATGGCTGAGATGGCTCTCCACCCAGGGCACAATAAACCAGGGGCTACCATTAGCATTGAATATAAAAGAATAAATCTGATCCATATTTAATTTAGTGTAATCTTCATTTTACTGTTTTTTTTTTTTTTTTTTTTTTTTTCCCCATCGTTTCACACTACCGTCTGTTATGTGTTTTTCTTTTTTTTTTATTTGTCTTCTTTTCACCCCCATTTTTGGTGCAGCTGCCTATTTTACATAAAAGCCCAACGTCTTTGCCAGAAAGCCTGAACTTAAAACTTTTTGCTATTGCTTTTTCATCTCTTATTCTCTTAACATAACGCTTTATGTGCTGCTATGCAGCTTTCCTCCCATTAAACACAATAATATTTAAAAACCACAGTGTTCGTTGGAGGGAATGCTTCCTGGCAGGAGTCATATGGTGTCGCTGGGTTTTCTTTTTGATGCTGAAAAAAAGCTTGGCGTGTTGATAATCTGACGGTGAGATAACTTTTAACCTCGTTATCTGACATTGCATACCAGCGATCCAGTTATCTAAGAGTGTCTTCACCAAGTTCTGACTGTTTTTCTCAGTTCCGATGCCGCATTGTTCTCCGTCTCGCCTGCAACCGCTGAAATATTCAATGCACCGTTGTGCCTACAAACTTAGGAGCGCATTTATGTGCACGATGAATAACCACAACCTCCATGTTGATGTAGAAACTGAACAATATGCAAATAGGAAGAGCAAACAGTTGCTTTAATGGCCTTTAAAAGGAAATATTTTTAAATTATATATGTGAAACTATATATGTGTAAATATATAGAGGGCCAAGAAAAAAATGAGTCTGTTGTGCACTTTTTTATTTTATGTGGTGTTATTTTCCTTTATTTCTTTGCACAAACATCTGGAGATTAACATGGAAGAGGCTTTAGACTTTAAAATGCTTTTTGACCTCTTTGGTATTACTATCGGTTGTGCAACGTTATGGCTGAATACTTGGAAGTCTACGCGGCAAATCTTTGTACTGGTGCGCCTTTCTTTCGCCTGACTTCATATTCTTGAGCCAAACAAGCGACACGCTCGTCCTTCCCGTTGCTGCACCTTCGAGATGGAAGCACAGAGCAGCAGGCATGATCGTGCAGCACGATCGGGGCCTTTGAAAGGTGACCCCTCCTGCTCTTCCATATGGCTAACATCTGCTCCACCTGAATGGCTGCACAGACTGCTGCGAGCTTTACGCTGCCAGGAGTTATCAGAAAACGCAGCACAACACTGTGTGGAGCTTGTGGGAGTTTCTGTGGATCATGCTGATGCTTTTGCTTTGCTGATTCTGCCCACTGCGCCACGACGACTGCAGCTTACACCCACCTGGGAGAAAGCGGTTCAAAGACGCCCTCCACTCACATTATCTCACCTTTTTTTTTTTTTTTTTAAATCACATTTTCTCATAGAGACTCTATATAATCTCTGTGTTCACCATGAAGGGATGTCGTTTAGTATTATTAATCAAGGACCTTTCGTCAGGTTTTTTTTTTTAGGACAGTTGGAAGCACAACATTACTTCTCTTGGGTCAAAAAGGAGAAAAAAGTGATTAATTTATATTAATTTGGAGTCCAGCTCAGAGTTATGTGAAGCTTTCGGGTTTTAGGACCCTTACAGGAAGCTGAAGTCATTCATTTCACAAAAAAAAAAAAAAAAGAGACCAGGGCTACCTGAGAAAACCTGGCCACATTTCCCGTCTTGCAGCAGAATTTCCCAGCTGCAGGCTTTTCAACCTCACAATGAGTCAGTTCTCACGATTTCAGATCATTTTACAGAAAGAAACCAGAGGCGGGAAGGGAGGCAGCTTCAGGATGAATTGATTCACCACATAAATCTATACTTAGTTTTACAGTAGTGTTAAGATGTTTGTTTTTTCTTCATTTATTGATTAATGCTGTTTTCAGTTGTTAATCAAGAAAGAGCTTTTTTTTGGTTTCTAATAAGTTGCTGATATGAGTAAACATTTATTTTTCTTCAAAGCTTCTGCTCTTATTTTAACTGGAAAACAATGTGACTGTGATAGTATTATTGGAAGCTAAACTTCAGCGTATTGAGAAATTTGCTTCAGATGTAGACTTATTTAAGCATTTTTATATGCAACTGTAGTATTATTATGAGCACATTATTTACACTTAATGCCTTAATGTCAAACTCCAGCTCACTCTGCTGCCCCCAATCTCACACTGAATTATTTATTGACAGCACGTGAACCCATATTGTATACTATTATGTACAATATCTTGTGTCGCAAGTGGAACCAACCTCACATAAATTATGCATTTTGCATAATGTACGTTCCATTCATTTAGTGGTTTTCAGAGAAATTTAAATTTTTATATTTTTGGTTATTGTCATTTAATAATGGCTGACTGCACCTTGATTTCATAGTGATTTGTATTACTCAAATATCTCATCGCTGGTTAAAAACAAATAAGTGAAAAATTAAAATAAAACAAACAAGTGACCAAAAACAGCAAAAATCATTCACATGCTGTGAACTATATACATTTATTTCATCCTACGGAGTTTCTAAAGGGCATTATTTTGAAAGAGTAAACCGGAAATGATCGTGTATCTTTTCAGTGGCTTTGTGCAGATGGTGGGAACGCCGACACCTCAGCATTCAGGCGCTCTCAGTCCGGCTCACTCCACTCTCCGGGTCAGCAACAGGAGCGAGAATTCATTTAGAAACCCAAGTCTTTATAAACAGAGCAAGAAAACTAAAAATAAAAAAATATATATATATGTATATATAAAATAAGAAGTTGGACTTTATCTCATTGGATCAGAGACTCTCTGTATCATCACAAGAGTTTTTCCTTTCTTTCTCTCTTTCTTTCTTGTACTTCTTGTTCATTCTGAACTCGGTTGGATGCGCTCTGGTTCTGCGGACTCTGCCTGCTGTGATGGACCGGCCCGGGAGCTGAACAGTGGGCTTGGTGTGGCCGCCAGGTGCGCACGACGAGGTCTAAACCCCAAAGGTAAAGAAACAAGCTTTCTTCTTTTTCTTTTTCTTTTCTTTTTATTGTACCTGCTTATTGCGCTCCTAAAATCCGTTCATTCATTCGTCTTTGTCGAGACGCATTGTTTCTCTGGAAACCTTAAACTTTTGATTCTCTTGTTCCGTCACCACAAACGGAGATGCTGAACTTTTTTTTTTTTTTTTGGCTGTGCTTTAAAAGCTTTTCATGCTTTCATGTAAACAGTACATATATGAATCATATCTCTGCCTGCACTCTTGTCCCACTGTGGCTGACTCTCCTGGATTCGCGCATTCTTTTTGCACTTTAATTTCCAACTGGCCTCTTAACAAATATTTCGATCATTTATTGACATCTGAATGTTTAGGTTTTTTTTTTTTTCAAAGTGATATTTATCTGCGTGCCTTAATGCTAAAGCGGCAACTCTGCATGTTGCAACCCAGCTGTTTCTTCAGATATGATAACAAATGCTGGACTTTTAACGAGTCCATTGACGTTGTTACGGCCTGTTTGTTAAAACTTATGCTGCTTACACTTGTTCTCCTGCAGGACCTACCGACTTAAAATGAGCTTACAAGCATTCATGTGTGTTTGTGCATGTTTTCATCCTGCTTCGGTATTTATTTTTCAATTTTCAGCAAACACGAGTTCCTTTCTTCCTTTTTTTTTTTTTCCCAGACATTATGTCTTGTGACCCATAACTCATTCATCTATCAAGGCAGGCAATCTCTGCCATACTTGTTTTCTCATCTGAACCGTGCAGAGAAGAGTTATGCATGCATCTGTCAGTAGAGTCTGCAGTGTAGGTTATCTCCAGGTCCTCACAGCAGCAGCAGCAGCAGCAGCAGCAGCAGCGTCTTCTTAGTAATCTACAGCCAATACGAAATAAGGGTTTCCAGCAAGGCTTCTCTTGAGACTCATGAAACTTAAAAAAAGGTTCAAAGTAGTCTGCCTTATATTCTACACACACACAAAAGAAATAATACTTTGAGCTGCTCAAACAAATTTTATTTAGTTTATTTTTGAGAGTTTTCTAAGTAACAGAAGCAAAGTCATCATGTAAATATATGTAAAACATATTTAGAACGTTTAACATTTTACCATTTAGGGTATTTTACCCTCAAACAAATACAAAGCAGTATAGCTTTTGTTTCTTGTCTTTTTTTTTTTTGTTGATAAAAATATACATTTGTTCATGTCGCTAAGCTGTGTTTGTGTCACTTGACAACGAAGGATAGAAATTCTCACACGACTGGATGTCTCAACCATTTTATTTTTAAATGCTACCCATAAAACTGCTACATCTTGATGTAGCCTAAATAAAGGAAGCATAAGAACATTTTGTTTCATGTGATGTTGTGTGTAAAATCTGGTAAACTTTGGTTTCCAAGCAAACCAAAGCATGTGAAACATACGGCTCTGCATACATTTTTGAACTTTGGACTCACATTGATTTAAAACTTAATGGGGGATACATAGCTTTTTACACCAATTTAGCCTAAACTGACTTGCTGCTGGTGTATTCAGTTGGCACCCTTTGTATTTAACCCTTTGATTATATGCACAGTTCCTAGTTCGTCTCTACTTCCATATCTTCAAACATGCCGTTTATATCCTAGGGCTGGACAATATCATAAGCGTTTCATATCAGTTGATATCAATAATTACTGATTAGTTTTTATTCTAAATATCTAAAGTACTGAAAAAGCTGGTGACATGCACTGTTCTGTTTTATTAATAGTTTTCTCTTGCGCTGTTGGACTCATTTTCTTCTTTCTCTCCACCCTGTTGTTTTTCATTTGTAAGCAGTGAAGAGTCACAGTGGTGAAACCTCAAGCTGCTGCACAAATTATTCAATAAGTTGTTGCTAGGTAACCAAAGAGTGAGTGAGCTAGTTGATGCTACAGGCCTTGCTTCGCTGTCAGTGAGAGGTCGAGTGGCTCAAGCCTTCCCTCTTCCCACATCCCCCAGAATGCTGTGCGGTTCTGGATTGGAGCTCAGTGATATTATAGAAAGTTCTGTCTATCACAATATATACATATAAAAAAAAAAAAAAAATTCCCTTCTCACCCTCCGCGGGTGGTCTCTCTCTCTCTCTC